TTTCTAGCATCATTATGGTGGCTTTAAAACACAAGCCAGACTTGCCTGGAGATGACTGTTGTAGCACATTTTCCTCATGTTCATGTTCACACCACGTCCTGCCCTTTCTCCCAGCTGCTGTGTGAACACTGTATCACTGTGCTGAGGGTGACCAGGGGAAAGGTGTTTCATTTCACTGCTGCGATTGAAAACTTTCTCAGAAGCTTGAGGTGGTGAACTTTTGAGGGACTCACCTTCTTCATTAAACTGTAGGTTAATTGTGCATCCCAGTGCTTTATCAAGGGCATCACCTTGTCATTTTCTGTTTCCTACACATTATTTCTAGTAATGCTTCCGAGAGAGCTACCTCCCTCCTAATTTCCACTTCTGAAGGTTAAGAATAAGATCTTTACACACTGTGTGGGTCCTCAGTACAAAGAACAAAAGCAGTGTTTTCGGCTAACACTTGCACTACAAAGTTGTGAGTTGTATTAACCCTCCATGTTTTCAGGGTGAAATACAACCTAGGTGTGGCATGGGAGGTTGGAGGACAAGTGATTTGGGCTGTTGCCTGAAGTCCTTTAACTTTTTGATTAAATTTCCATGTGGCCCCAAGATTAAGAAGAAAGTAGCATGAAACAGTTAAGTTACGAATTTGAGGAAGCTTGAAATACTGCTTATGGAAACTAGGGCCCTCATTCCAGGTGTTGGTGTGCACTCAGGAACGGCACTGGTTACCTGGAGGTCTGATATACAGCCACCTGCTAGCAGAAAAACCTGCTCAGCAGCGAGTAGCTTGATAACTCCCTGCACCACAGATGAGCACAAGGTGGTGTGCTTCATGAGCTCTACTCCCCTTTTTGCATCTAATGAATAATGAAAGCGGTGTTTTTCATTGCTACTTACTGTTCAAGGAATAGCAGAATGATGTGTGACCTGAATAAATATTTAGGTGTACTAGTGTCTGTGAAATTTTCTTTTTGCTATAAAATGCATTTAAGAATTCACCAGGCAATTCAGAAAGGTTAAAGCAATGAACTGGGATTGTCCCAGAGTATATGATGGAAAACATATTTGTATTTACTCAACCTCTTCTTTAATATATAGGTTAAACAAGTTTCTGATGAATAATGACACCTTCATGCATTTTAGATTGCAGGTGACTTTGTTAAATGTCAGCCAGGCCATACAAAACGATATGGGAGTGGGTACAATAATGTGGGCAGCTACGTGTGGAAGTCTGTATGCAGAAGATGAAAGAAGGCCACAGTGGGACTAGTTTGAACATGGCAGATCATAAATTTGTTCAGTTAATGCCAAGAGAAAGATGGGGAATGGGCACTTTTCCAAACATGGGGGATGAAACTATTTCATCTAATTGTGGAAGTATAGCAAGGACAGATATCTTACCCTTTCGAGCACTTAACTAGGAATTTTGTTCAGGATGGGATATTTGTGACAGCAATTCACTCTGTCCTAAGCCTAAAGCTGCATTTATCTTAGGCCCAGTGAGCTTTATGGTGCTGGTACTTGTTTGGTTTTGATGCTTTTGCCACGAGAAATGTTTGCCTCTGTGGTTTATAGGTGGTGCAAGACGCTTCTGACAAATAGCCGTTGCTGGGGGTCTTTATCTGCAGGTGGTTGATGCATCATCTCCCACAGCCCTTTTTCCCCCTGCTCATTCTTCATCCAGGAAAACAGAAAGTGAAAGATGACTGCACCAAACATTTTCTCTATATTGCTTTACCTGATTGTTTCTTCCAGTGCATCACATTTAGTTTGTTAAAACCTATGATTTTCTGAATAGTACTCAAAAGAGCAGAACTTCTTTCCTCTAAAGGGATTTTTTGCCTCCTGCAATTCTTAATGTTGTTTTTACTCATCTTAATGCCCATTTTTGGATCGATGTTATGCGTTTGAGGTGCACAGTGAAAGCACAGCTGCTAATTCGTTCTGGCAAATTGGCTGGAAATTGCCAGGTACTGAGCACTCCCAGACGTTTTAATGGAAAGTTTCAGCTGGACTGTCTCAAGGGCATGCTTATTTTGTTTAAACTGGTTCAGTAATTTTAAATCATCTGAGAAGCTCTTGGCCTGTTACCTTTTCAAGTGCAGATTCTAAAATATGTTTGTCTCTTGTTAGTATTTTTTATGAACAACTGCTAAATAAACTGGCCATTTCTAAAGTACAGTAAGAGTATTTGAAATTGGTGGTAACTTTGAGAAGCAGGAAAATCAAGCTGAGATTTGTTTTGCTGTTATGCTAAATTTCACTTTGTGGTTTTGTCTCCTAGTTCATTATGGGAAAAAATAATTATTACGTTGGCAGCAACATAAGGAAGAGATCCAGTGAGGTATCTTTTCCATTCTCTCTTAATGAGCAGTGTAAACCCCTGCACCACCAGGTTGTCTGTGTGTGTGAAGCTGTCTGATCAGGGGGCTAGAAGCCATCCTGTCTCTCACAAGGCAGGTTGGAAGGTTGAATTGTCCCACAACAAAACTGTGTTTCCGTCTCTCTTCCGTGCAGGAGCACTTGTACCATGGGGTGCGTTGGCCGGTCTGTTCACCCTGGGCATCCGAGCCTGACCATGTTATGGCATCAGGGGATAATTGGGAGCCCATATATGGGTAATCATCTCTTCTAATCAAGGCTTTAGAGGAAAGCATCTGCCAATTTAGGGGTGAGGAGTAGATCCACAGGGTGCCTGATCTTCATTAGCACCAGCCGTGAGAGTCACTCTCTGCCACTGAGGTCACACGTGCAGCGAGGGCACAGAGCTGCTGACTCTGCTGTGGATGTGTGGTAGTGGTGCAGCATCTTTTAAGCATTTAGCAACCAAATAAACAGGGTTTTGCCAAAAGTTTTGCAGCTCAGAGTTTGTCACAAAGAACAACTGCCTAAACTCTTACACTTTATAAAGCATGATGAGATATTTTAGCATTTGCAGTGTTTTCTGTGTTTCATATCTCTTAAAAGGATATGCACGAAGATATGTACTGAAAGATGTGCAAATTTTGGTTCCTTTTGGTATTTGTGGAAGGAGGCATCCAACTTTGGAGTGAGGTCTGGAATACTGTGTATGTGTGCCATAGACTGCATGGGGGGAGTAATCTGCAAAGAGGTTTTGGAACAAGCAACACTGAAAACAAAGTAATCTGGGGCTAAGTAACAGTGTATTGGTCCAGTTCCACATCCATGTGGGATGTTGAATTCAGATCCCTGTCCAGAAAGCAGATAAAGATGGACTTGAGCATGGTCTAGGCACTCAGACAACAAGGGCAGCTGTCTTAAAGGGCAGAACTCAAAGAACAACCCCTTGGCAGGGGCATTACTACCTTGAGTGGTTTGTGGATCTGTAGAAAATGCTGCACCACAGTTAGAAACTTGTGGTCCAAGTCAGCCAGTGTTTCATTAAACACATCTGTTGAATTTCTTGAGAGAAATCTTGGTGCCACTGAAATCGATAGCAAAACTTCCTCTGACTTTTACTCAGAGCAAGATTTCTTCTCTCTTTTTTGGTAAGTGCACAGAAACAGTAACACAAAGGCCAGGGTTTTCAAAATTACCAGCAAGACTTAAAGTGCCCTGAAAACATGAATTGTGGGTGTTTGTTTCCCCTGGGCAGCCTATGCAGTCTGAACTCTATGTTGATGTGAAACCCTGATGAAATATTAAAGACCCTCAGAGTGAGGACACGCAACGTTCACTGCATGTGGATTGCTGAGCTGGCCATTCAGCAGGGGCAAGCCCTCGTCTGGCAGTGCACAGAGCTGCAAATCCAGGGCATGAGATTTGTAGTTTGCCTGCGGTTGGTATTTGCCTTGCAAAAAGAATTTGAGTTGAAGAATTAGCAGACATAAACAAAAACCATGCAGGAGAAGTGCACGCAGGCACCCCAGGGTTGCTGACACCGAGTCAGGCTGCCCAAGGGCACAGTTGAGTGAGAGTACAAATAAACTGTGTACAATGATGAAGTTCTTTCTTCACACATGAATGCTTTTTGATCTTTCCAACAGAAAACCAGGTGAGATTCTCAGTTAGTGAAATGTCAGATTAGAACCATGACATAACCTAATTGAGCATTGGTCACGTGAACATACTGATAGTAACTGCTGAACAGCTTTTGTTTTCGCCTCCCTTCATTCTAATCCATTTGTTGCTGTTACAGGGTAACTCTCTGTCTTTGAAACAACACAACTTGTGTTTAGGAATTTGGTGAGGATAGGACTGAGTTCAGCTGTGAACTGTAAGAGGTGTGTGTAATCCATCTGCTGGAGATTATCAACTACCGTAATGCTACCCATGCTCTTTAGGTTGACAGGGCAGGGTCTTAATTTCACCAGCTCACAAAAAATGCTCCCATCACAACAGAAAGCAGCAAGGGACCCAAAGAGAGGAATGTAACATCTGTGTCTGTTCCCTCATTCCAGGGTTCATAAAACTGTTCTTGTCTTATTACAACAGAGAAAAGCCAACATTTGAAAGTTTTGTAAATGATCTAAATCAGTCTTTGTTCTGAGCTGCTTTCAGGGCTGTAGATGTTTGGTATTTTTTTTTTCTAACAGAGACTTTTTTTGTAAAGGAGAGAGGAGAGGAAAATTCTCTACAGTCCAGCATGGAGTTGGCCTGTCCACACAAATATTTGTGCTGGGCTATTAGAAACAGGTGCTCTTCAAACGCTAAAATAGCTCCAACTTTTCCTTTTTGAACAAGAGTGAACTATCACTGTTTCTGCCAGTCTTGAGCAATGTCTTCCAGGTTGAGTCTGACTGGGACATCATTCTCCTGTCATGCTCTGGTGGCCTCATCTCTCAAGGGTAATGCTATCTGGTTAGTCATTCCTTTGCTGATCACAAACTGACTTTGTGTTTCTTCCTCTGCCCTCTCCGGTCCCAGTTTCAAAATCTGAACAAAGGTAATAATTCCTACTGCCAAACTTCCACGAAAATGAAACGAAGAGAATTCTGGAGCTGTGAAAAGTTACTAAAAAGCCATTTCCATTCTCTTCTCCCATTTGTGCCAGAGGATCCGTGTGGTCTTTGAGTGCCAGGCTCCAAGGTGTGCATTCAGAAAGACAGCCTGTCCTTTACATATTGTTCTGCAGCACAGAGCAGTGATGGTAAATGTGTATTTTCACTTTCCTCAGCCTGTTCATTGAGATTGAAAAGTTAAGTAATATGTGTTTGTAAATCCCACCCATGTCTTTGTGAAAGGGGAGACATTTACTGTTTTCTACCTTTGTTCATAGAAAAGAATTAAAAAATAATCCTATCTGAAGTACCTAAATGATAGAAAATTGTTTTCATTTTTTGTGTGCTTGAATTGTAGTTTTTTTAATATATATTTATTGTGCTAACAATACAGTTCTCCTAATTAATATTAATCATTAAGAAATAGGAATTGTCTTAGTGGTTACCTTGCTCCCAGACTAACTGAAGTAAATATTCCCACAGATACTAGACAATCCTAAACTAAAATATTAGTTTCAAAAATCCTATTATGGCAAATCCATAGACTTGATCAAGTGAAAATAAGCACGAGTTAGGCATTCAAATATTGATGGTTCTGTATTTACATAACAAAAGAAAGTAACAATCTGAACACGGAAATCTTTTAGAAGATTTTTGTTTGAAACTGGACATGAATTAAAAGGACCTAGTTAGAATTTATCACAAAAGGTGATAAAACTTTGAAATCTGAAGTGTTGCTGTTTGCAGACCTTGTAATTGCTGACTTCTTTCATGTTGTAAATGTTGCCAGCCTGGCCAAGTGTGGTAGATCAACTTTAATCCCTGGAATGGCCCACACCTTGTATCCTCTCAATCTGCAGTAAAGAGAGAGAATAACTGATTTCTGTGTGTCTTTAAATTAAGTTTAAAAAAATATAGTTAACATGGAGGCCAGCTACTGAGCAAGGATGCTGTATCCCTCCAAAGAAGAAGGATTAAGGGTAAATACACAGAAGCATTGCCAATGCTTCCTTTGATTTTTGGGCTTGTTATTGTTTTTCTCTTTGTTTTCAGGTATGGGTAACATAAGACCTGCAATTATGAGACCAAAGAGAATGAGAGAATAAATTAATGAGAGCAGAGATTAAATTAACATAACCAGTGTCACCGAATGACACACCTGAAAATTCACAGCTGCCAGAAAACTTCCTGCTACTGGAGGGAGACAGTCCTTTAGCCAGGCAGTTCCTCAGTTTTGGGTGAGTGAGTATTTTGTTGCGTTTATTGAGATAATATTTTACTGCGAGGGGGGATCACTCAGTTTGGTGAAAGCTGTGTGCCACATGCAGGTGGGAGAACTCAACAGATGTGGCAAAAGACAAATGCTCCTGTTCAATCAACAAAGGCATCATGGTTTGAAGTGTCAAGGCCTTGGGCAGCTCTTAGCACTGCCGTTACTGATAACTAACTTCTTTTGGCAACAAAATGGTGATGTGATCAAGACAAGGGAATTCCTGTCGTGCAGACTGTCTTAACAGTGAGGAGGACCAATGTCTAGAACTTTCACTGGAAGACCAACGATCACACTTAGAGGTGTGATATTGGGTCTGTACATTGTTTATATGTAATTTATATAGTAAATTACCAAATTAGAGAGTTTTGTTCAGGTGGAGAACTACACAAAGCAAAATGGCAGGACACATTCTCAGCATGTGCACAAGAGCAATTATTTGCTCTGACACCAGTTGGGTTTTCTAAAATACATCCAACACACTGCGTGGCATTTCTTTTTCTGCCAGATTAATTATGTAGCTTCCCTTTTCCCCCTGCCATCACCAGTGGTATTTTATCCAGGGATGAGCCTCCAGCTGGGCTGGCTGGGCTCAGGTGAGCCATGCCAGGGGGTTGGGCAGTCCCTGTGTGCTGTTCCTGAAGCCAGGGCAATTCCTGCTCCCTACCACAGTTCCAGCTCTTCTGTTTTCAGGGTTGTGTTTTCCAGGGTGTATGGCATGTCCATTCAACTTGCATGGCAAATCTGTTGATGTAGAGATGTCAGAGCAGTCCTCTGTATAGCTTGGGGAAAGGACATTTCATTTGACATCCCAGAGTGCCACAAAGCCACAGCTGTGCTTCACTTGGTATCCAGCATCTGCTTTGGGAAGCACAAGGGCAGCCTTCCAAAGCTGAGGAAACCACACTCCACACCATGTGAGTTCCCTGTGCCATGTCTGAGGATGTGGTAATATGTTCTTCTTGGATTTAGAAGCAGATTGTAGGTAAAATATTCTGATCACAGAATCATAGAATGGTTTGGGTTGGAAGGGACCCTAAAGATCATCTTGTTCCCATGCCCTGCCATGGACAGGGACACCTTCCACTAGACCAGGTTGCTCAGAGCCCCACCCATCTCCATACTTGCAAGGAGACCTGCCTGTCATTCTATGTGTGAAATGATAATCACAGTTAATATCATTTTTCTAACGTGTATACAAAATTCTAGGGGATTTTACTATTATTATTATTATTATTATTATTATTATTATTATTATTATTATTATTATTATTATTATTATTATTATTAATTTCATCCTTATGAGGGTTTTTTTCTGCATAACTTTCTGTGCAATACTGGTTAGCTTGTTGCTAGACTGTCAAAGAGACATTCTCAAGGGAAGGTGGCACGGTTTTTCTGAGGCCACCTGTATTCTAAAAGGAAAAAAAAGTCTTCATTCATTTTTAAATTGATTTAAAGGTGAGTTTGGGAGGAATTTGGATCTTTATTTCTTTTGTAAGTACAACAAACTCCTGTTGAATGGTCGTTCCCATGATCTCCTTTAGCAGCATTAACTATGGTGTGACATTTGAGAGGAATATAATTTAGGCAGATCCGTGTGTAGCAAGGTTTTGTTGACAGTTATATTGTCTCAGCAATGGTTCTAACACATCATTCAAAGTCGTCCAAGGTTCAGTGTCTTTCTGCCTGTTGGTTGGCTCTTGGTGAGGTTTATTGTTGTATACTCAGTCTCATAATGGAGACAGGTGTTCAAGAAAAGAGTTCAGTGACATTCCCACCCAAACCCTTTTCCTGCATGCTCAGTTACAATTATCTGGATTGAGATACCAGTTTTATAGTTCATTGTATTTTTTTAATTACAGGTGACTCTTTTAAATGTTTTAGATATTTAGAAGAAATTATGCTTTGAAAATTATTCATAACCTCGCAGAGCCACTTCAGCAGAGAACAGACAGGGTGTTTTGTTTGAACATCCAGCAAGGCTTTAGGTTACTTAATTATCCTCAGCTTTTATTTAGCTGGGTTTTTCCTGTGAGTGGAGAAGCTGCTCTTGATAGCGGTGTTCTGCACAGCACAGAGGAGAGTCCACTTCCCACGCACAGGAACACTTTTGCCTGACGTGGTACCTCCTCTTGCCAAGGCTCTGGACACCAACAACACACCTCATGTTTCCCACTGTCTTCTCATGACAATTTTTGGGAGGACTTCTGAAATAATGAGAAAGGCCCTTCAAACTGTACTGACAGGGTGGTCATCCAGGTCACATCTTCTGCTTGTGTTTGCCAGATGGGACCTCAGATCTGGGGAGAGCCCATTTGTTTGTGACATAGTTACAGGTTTTCTAGTGAGACTGCAGTTTAATACCAATTGTAGTAGTGAGTGGTACCACAAAACGCAAACTTTAATTATTTTAAAACTCATAAAACAACTTTAACATTGTTTTCAAATTAACTTTTGAACTAGTGCTGTTTCTAGGCATTTACTTTACATATATAGGGGAAAATATTAAAAAATATAGGGGAAAATA